GAAATTTGTGGTTGCTGTCACTGGAAGTCTAATTGTGGGAAGCGAAGCCAAAAGAATCCGGATAGTTAAAATATGACAGTTTTCTCTTTTAAAATCGAGATGGACGTTCACAATTCATACCAAGAGTTGAACGTTATGATCAACAATTAATATAACATAGAATTCGATGCTTATGTTTGTCCATCAAACGTCCGATTCATTCACTTGAACACTCCAATGATTTGTCGATGAAGTTCAAGACTTACTCTCAACCTTTCAACCAAATTTAGTGCGCCAATAGACCGATCACTGAGATTTCAAAAACCCATTGCTCAGTGGAAAATGGGCCGTTAGAAGGCATATTCCGTTGGTGATTCAGGAAAATTTGGATGCTTATAGGATCACCCGGTACGTGGTTTTGCAATTGGGTGAGGTAACACTTACATACTATCGTCAATTTGACTCAAGCCGACGATAAATTCGAGTTTTCATGATTATTGTCATGCTAGGAATTGTGAAGTATAGTCACGTGATGAACATTAATTCTAAAATAATCTTTCTTATACAGGTGTGAAAATTTTCAGCTTTTTTTTCCACTCTTCAAAGACATTTATTTCTGTTCTCGATGACGACAAAAGGCATTTGGAACGCTATTGACTAAACCACCGATGTGAATTTCTTTTGGCCAGTGACTGGCCGGAGTATAAACATCTATATCACTGTCATCGTTCCATGATAGGCCTGTAAACACTCGTCGATGCAGCAATATAATCTATTCGGATGTGTTCCGTGGTGAAGATTGCGTGATTTTCATTGTTCTGTGATAAATATCGTTTTACACTTGCATGCAATCAGCAAAAGTATTATACCTTTATTTCGAGTGTTTTATTAAGGCTACGGTCAAATTTCGATATTTCACGTAATTATTATCTGAGCCAACATGTCATTTAGTCTGTTAATGGGCTCTTGTACAGCAAAATGCGCGTGTATCCACCATACAGTCTCAACAGCTGACGTTTCGGTAGTTCGCCTTCTTCTGAACCTGAGATGGTCAAACTGTAGGAAAACGTTTTCAGTCCAAGACTGCTTAGCTAAACTCAGAAAAGTTGAGACTTCGTTTTAGGCAGCAGAATGTAGTTCTATACATACACCCTGCTATTTTGACATTAACCTTATCAATAGCTGATATTAAAAGTGATTTGAACAGTTAAGTCAGAGCTTGAGCATAGAGTTCACTCATTCTCAAAATTATGATATGCTGCTGGATCAAGTCATTTACACTGTCCTAGGGAAACTGATGGCCTAGTCGTAGATTCTATTACAGTTACACATTGCTTTTTGGTAGAATAGGGACTTCAGGTGGAGGGCTTTCTCTAAACCAGAGATGCTGACCTTTCTGTATGGAGAATATCTGGGAGCACATTGGTATAGCGATGCCAAGTTTTCAGGAAAAAGTAAGCTTGTTCAATTTTAGATAATTTGATAAGGAAATGAAATAGCGATCTTTGGGAGCAGGTGAATCTACCCAGTAGTACAACAATTTTTATTGAAATAATCTTCATAAAGACGGAACAACTAGAAGAAGTGCAGGAATCCGCATGACAAGTGAACATGATCATGTGTCCAAGGGAAACATTAACACTGATCCTGGATGAGTCTCACAAAGCGATAGAAAACCATTATCAGTCTATCAATTATCTAAGCATAGTCTTTAGTAAGTAATTATCATTTCTTCAGTTCCGACTACGGCTATGGAAATGTGTTCCTGATCTAAATTATTGTTTATACATTGATTTGAATACATCCAAATCTTGCCGAGGGTCAAGTCAGCTCGGTAAAAGTGAAAACCGTTTCTTATGAGTGCTTCGTAGTGGTCTAACTTTTTTAGGCTCGATCCAAGCCACACTCCTGCACTAACAAATCTTTTCGTGCTGTTGGACGAATTGGAACGGTGCACTGTGGTGGAGGAGATATTTACAAAAATCACGAACGGTGTAATCAATTAACAAGCCACTTTCGCATTTCAAGTAGGCGTTTGCCTGGCAAAGATGGCGAGATATCATGAGGTTGAGCAGCGATTGAAGAGTGCTATTCATTTCAATTTGCATAGGTCCATGTTTTAAGCAAATTTAGGTGAGATTTGTTAAATGCTGACTTCTTTCCTTCTTAAAATAGCTAAAATTTTAATATATGTGCTTCCTTGACCCTTAAGGGGCGACTTAAACCACCTGAGGTACTCAATTGATTGGAGGCCTTTCTTGCTGGACAAAACTTTTCTCTCAGACATTTGGCAATTATTCGCAAGCTTGAATCTCCGCGAATGCTTAGCTGGTGTTTGTAAATGGCTCTTCGTCAAACTCTTACTACTTTTTCGATAGTCAAAATTTCGTGGACTTCGATACTGTGATTGGTTTCTTGAAAGGTTGTCATTATAATTCCACTCAAAAATTTCATTGTACAGAAAGCTTATCTATGCGAGAGAAGTATATGACTTTGTAGAGGAAATCATGGAGAATCAAAAGAAATGAAAAGAACGGGGTTTCTTTGCTGTTGGTGTCAATTGCTGAAAACACTTAAACTAAATAACTAAAATCCCTCGTCTCCTGTGAGTCGCGCTATGCGATTAATCAGTTGCCATCACCAAAGAGTTAACTGCAAAGCTATACATGTCGTATAACCCAGAATTCTTTCATTATTATTTGAGCCAATATTTCATATGGTCTGGTAAGGGCTCTTGTACAGCCCGAGACACGTGTTTCGTCCTTACAAACTCATCAGCCGGGCAGAACCCGTCGTCTGTCGATCATAAAAAATTACTACAACTTATCCTACTAAAAGATAATCCCAAGTAAAAGACGATTTCGAACTTTGTGGAAGTTCTAGAGCATACTTTAACCACAGATAAGATACATCACGAAAGACTGTTTGCAGACTGGAATTTCTTTCCAATTTTGTGGCAAAAGTATCGACTCTCGTGAAATCTTTGATGAGTGTACAAAAGTGTTCTAAATAAGCTTTCTATAGACATTAAATTCATTGGCACCTTAAACTTGTTCCAGCTCAATCAGAACACCACCGCAGTCCCTGAGTTGTGGAAACATCACATCCTTTCCGTGATCACCATTTTTTGGTTTTTTCTCCGAAAATTCTGGCTCCCTTTGATTTACATGTTTCCATTATCTGACATGTACGAAATTACGACGTGAATTGATGGCAATTGAAAGTGGAAAATTTCAAGCAAGATGTGATCCAATATTCTTACCTCAGAACCTTATTGCATTTGATACCTTTTAATCTACTGGGCAAAATTTAACTTATTGAGGAAAACCAAATGTTTACATCATAGAGAAATCGAAGGAATGTCGAAGTACATTCTTAAGTGAAAGGATTCGTTAAGCGAAAAGTGCTCAATAAAAACAGTAAGAATCAACAAGGACATTTCCTATACGTGGCCCGCTCAAAAAACAGTGGGCTACTCGGGACGAACAGTATGAAAAAATCGTTTCTTCCGAACAAAATAACAGACTCGCCATTGTAATATTGGTTAGTTAGATGCAAATGTGATGCATACTACCAGCTTTGTTTCTATCAAGGAAGCCCTAAACAGCAGTAATGTAGACAACGATAATCCATGGAGAAACAAGAAGATTCTTGCTGATTCATATCGTTTCGACAAGGTTTTTTTCTTTTTTCCCCAAAAAATTAGCATTTCACACAAATTTCATCAGAATCCGCAATAATTGGTAACGCCAAAACTACAAAAAAAAAAAATCATTCAAACAAGGAAAGGTGCTAATGTTGTTTCATAACATGTCAACAATAACGGCTTGTGAATAACGGGAGCTTTAACTGACTTGAAGGAACGATCTTTCTCTGGAAGGATGGAGAAGCTCTAGTTTTGAGTTAGACAACCGTGTTTGAGGTGAGGCTGCAAAAACATTGAGAATTCTTATAGCAAGAAGAAAATGGCAAAGTACTGATAGGGATCCTTGAATATCTGATTTCTATCCAAGTTTTTTCACCGATGATCCAGACAAACTTCACATCTGTTTCCTCCATTTGTTGATGTACTCTTAATAACTGATTAGCGTCTAATTTCATGAGAAGAACTGCACATACTGAGGACATAGTAAGTACAAAAGTTCTAAAACAAATAAAATGCAAAATGTACCCTATGGTGTTTACAATTACGCGTCAAATTGCAATGATTGAGCTATGTGCGAAGTATTTGCTACGATAACTCTCGATTTTGCATAGCTTCTAGAAATGGGTTTTATATATTTGAAATTTACTCACTTTTCCACAAAACATAACAAAAATCATACATTGCAAACAAACACGAAGAGGAAATTCTTCATATAAATCTCACTATCATGTATTTAAATTACATAACCTTCCCTCTTCACAGTCTACTGTGCGGTCTCAGCGCTTTTTGCACGCGATTCGTCTCCTCGCATTAATTGTCACAAGTCTTCGAACATTCGCTCGTTATTTTTTTCGCGGTTCGAGAATTTTATCTTGAGTACTGTAGGATACTAGTCAAGACTGTTTTCCCTACAATCTTAGAGGGTAGGTTAGTTGACACGTTCTCTAAGTCGGCGAGTAAATGGATCCATCATTTTGCTTATCAAAACGCTTTCTGATACACCTCACTACTAACTACTGCTCTACCCGGGTACTATAGGCCTTACTGAGAGGAAAATTCGTCACTTTTTTACAATTTGTAAAAGCATTCAGTTACACAAAACTGGTTCGCTGACTTTCGCACCAAAATTCTTATAAAATTGTGAAGCTTGTTTCAAATCCGGTGTGGGGATTGCAACGTGTTTTAGCTGATTAGAGAAAGCATGTGAGCAAAGCGACTAAAAAATCTTGTGATTGACTTCGTAAACACATGCTCCATCTGAGTGACCAATTCGAACACTTTCAATCTAATATTCGAAATTTTCACGACTTTTACTGCAATTTTTGCGGTATTATGATATTTCGTATATACCTAAGAGAACTGAGGGGTAAGCAAAAACCTAAGGCAGGAATAGAACCCACGTTTCCTCCATACCAGGGACGTGTGCTACCACTGCACCACGAAGATTCATTCGGGCCACCGGTATGAATGTCGTCCACGGTATGGATGAAGCGCGGGTTCGATTCCTGCCTGATGCCGTGTTCTTGCTCACCACTCATTTCTCTTAGGTAAATACTTTCATTCTAGTGAAAACATGTGCTGCTTCTCTTCATTTACCTTTGAACAACTATTGAAAGCTAAATGGGTATCTCAGATTCATTGCAAACCCTTCAATCGCCTGCTTTTTTGACATCACTATGAACACTCAGTATAGTCTGTGAGAATGCTTAGAACTTTTTGGAGTTTGGTTTGTCAGTGGCTTATGCACGGTTTCGGCGCTATCGCCCGCTTTATCAGAGCCACTGCTTCGCTAACATTCGCACGAAGATTCTTATGAAATTGTGAGCTTGTTTCAAATGCGGTGTGTCGATTGCAATATGCTTTAATCTTAGGAGCAATTAATGAGAGATGTGAGCAAAGCAACTAAAAATGCCTATGATCGACTTTGTGCACAAATATTTCATCGCAGTGATAAATTCGGAGTTTTGTAACGCTGTAAATTCCAAAGCATTATGTTTTGCAGCACCACGTGTTTTTTTTTCTTACCTGGCTTATATTTCGTTGGACAAAACTCCTTCCCTAGGGCGCTATTACTCATCCGATGGAACTATTTTTGGAGAATTGAAAAAAGCGCTTTCATCTTAAATAAGCTTTTTGTTAGCACTCTGCGAAAAAGAAAATATATGTGCTTTACACCTCGTATCAATGAGCTTTTTTTTTAGACTATTAGTAATTATACGGTTGTTTAAAGTTCGCTGATACCAACAAGGTCCTTACTTTCTGAAAAGATCCTTTCTGTGCCAGTGCAGCAGCGAGATATGCCACCTGTCATAATGCGAATCAATGGATGGTCGATAAAAACGGCCACAACCGCCCTTGCCCCTCCTTCTCATTATCGTCCCGTGAAATAGCTAAAAAGCACCTTTTCGCGTATGTGATTCACTCTTATTCTCCTTGTTGCGCTGAAGATCAACGGTCATTGCAGAAAGTAAACACAGCGTTGGAATCAGAAACAATTATGCTACTGAATGTTTAGTGATAGTCTAAAGAAAGAGCTCTATATGGCGAGAAAAATATGCTCGTATGCAAAGTAAGGAATCTCATAATGTAGCAACGTCAAGAAAGGCTTTTTGACAAGCGGCCACGTTGGGCTGCTTCTTGAAGTCTCAGCTTTCGAACGGTCACTAACACTCCTATGAATAATTACTCACCCGCGAATGAGATTGGGTTCTCATTTGGTCCCATATAACTAGAAAAAACCCTTATATACATATATATGTAAACATATATATATAGATATATATGCATATATTTATATATCACCTGTATCACTTGCCGTCCCGTTGATCGTCGAGCCACTCGAGCGGGCACCAGCAACACTTCCATTTTTCTTTTTGCGTGCAAGATTAGTCCAGTGAACTCCTCTGGACTAATCTTGCACGCAATCTGGGGATTCGTTGAGCATCATGTCTTTCTTTTAGTATTTTTGTGAAGAAATCCGACCATGGGGTCGGTGGTCTTCCTGTAGAGCGTGATATCTCGCGGAATCCAGTCGGTACAGGCTCTCGTCTATCGGTTGTCGTTGAAGCGCATCACGTGCCCGGCCCACCTTATTTTTGGTATCCTACCATGTAGAACATCGTCTCTGATCTCCGATCTTTGACATGCGTCGGAACTTCGGATCTTCCTCTCAATTGCGAGATATTGGATACTCCTACATCGACCTTTCGACTACGTGTTCAACAACGCCAGTGATCGTTCATTCTGCTCACGTAGCAATCAGGTTTCTGCCGCATTCGTTAGGGCAGGGGTAATCTTCGAGTCAAAAAGCTGGGCATCGAGTCGGATGCTCTTTGTCTTTTTCAATAAATCCTCGATGTTCTCAAACGTTTCTCAAGCCGCTCGTTTCCTCCTGCTCAACTCTGGAGCTAGATCGTTCATCATGTTGATTGCACGGCCTAGATAGAAGTAACTGGAGCATTCGGAAATGTTTATTTCGTTTAACGTGAACGGGACATTTAAAACCATCGAACATCAAGCGGGAATCGAACCCGCATTCCACCCTCTCCAGGATCGCGTGCTAACCAATTGCGCTGCCGACGCTCCTGTTGTGTCATCAGTCAGTCACAACAGACCACATCGATCTGTCAGCAACCAAACCTCAACGCTTTGGCCAGGCACACATTTATCCACATAGATCCTAGTACACCGACAATACTGAATATGTTAGTAATAAAGTAGAAATCTTTTCATTAAACCGCTTATGCTGGTTATTAAGAGATCGATTCGTTCTATCGAAGAACGAGTGAGGACAGAATAGGAGACTAGATAGTCAAATAGTTAGCATGAGTCCGCCGAAAGAGTGTGAATGCGGGTTCGATTCCTGTCCAACGTCCAAAGTTTTGTACAATACGCAGAATTATTGGGGGTACCTTCTATTCAACTATACAATTAAGTAGTAATATATAAACAGTATTCTACACTATTTTTAGCGTTATAATGCTTCACTACAATCACAATAATGCTTTGGAACAGTTACTGCTTTTTGCTCTCTACCAAGTACTTTGTAATCATGGATTTGTGCGCACATCAACGACAATATACTGTGTAACATTTTACTTTTGTGTACAATGATGGACTGACGATTCAAAGCAGTATTTTGAACTTATTTATATAATTATTATTTGCTAATATTCTTCGCTAAGCCAAGCACGATTGCTACATTAAATTTCTTCATTCATTGAACACCTGACGCCTCGACAATCCGCCTTCTTCAGAGCCTGGGAAGGTCAAATTGTCCTCAATTCAATCAGTCAAACACCTTCATCACTCCTTTAGAAAATCACCATACTTAGATCTGATGCAACTGTAATTCAGTTTGGTGATTTTTTCTAAAGAACTAATGCAGGTGTTTGACTGATTGGACTGCAGACAATTTGACCATTCTAGGCTCTGAAGAAGGCTAACTGCCGAGACGTCAGCTGTTAAATAAAGATTAATGCACTACCATTAAAATCATTTGTTTTCTGAACTCTTGAGTCAGCGCAACTTCTATACCTTCTAACAATATAATCAGTTATAGGACATGATTCAAGATTTAAGGTCGAAATCATCACTCACGTTTTTGAGGTGAGACACGTCGTCGCCACTTCCATTCAAAAGCTCTCTATTTAAAAGATTTATGTTGAGAGAAGTTTCGACATCTCCGTTCGCCTGTAACTGCTCATTAATCGATGAGCCTATGTTGGCATTTGTATTCCCCGGAAGCTGTTCATGAAGTGGTGAGTTTATGTAGTCACTAATCGCGGATCCAGGCGATTGATGATAAGCTGATGAATCCTTGATATTCAAGGAGATTTTCGTTATCGCAAAATCCGAACACTGGTCATAGTTAAATGAGTATATGGCACTGTTTGCGTGTTCGGAAAGTTGCTCACAATATGATGATCCTGGAATGATGGAATATGGGATATAGAAAATGATGGAGTAGTCATTATTGTTTCTGTTTCGAATTCATGCATAAATTTTCAGTTGTTTACAAGTGCCACTGAACTTTCTTTCCAGCCTAATACTAAGGTTTTTAATGAGAAAGCTATAAGACATTATGACCTTTTTCGGCTCTGAAGAAAGCAATAGCGTCAAAACGACAGTCTTTACTTCATAAAACTCTAGTCTGTATTGAATTTCGGTGGGGTTAGAGATGGCTTTCTCAATATACACGTAGTCGTTGATTCGATCTCATGCCCTGGATCATCAAGTCTTCCGACCTTCTAAAGTGAAGAAATGGTCAACACAGTTACGATAGCAGTACTATATTGCATAGGGATGTCATCGCAAAGTTATTGCATTGGCTCAATATGCAACCAGTCTCCCTATAGGATCGTTAATGAAGTCGAATAAATGACGAATTTCTCAACGATTGATCAAGACGTAGAGCTCTATTCACTCTAGAGATTTTTGGACGTCGACAATTACACCATTTCGAATAAAGACCACGAACTATCGAAAGGAGTTTATGGATCTTTTCATGAATGTAAATTTAGGCTCAGAGAGCTTAGGAAGCTTTGGTGACCTCTTACAGACCACATCAGAGACTTGCTCTATATCGACAAAATAAAGGTTCGCGGGAAATCCATCCTTCTCAATGGAGAGACATGAATTTCCTACCAATCGCAAAAACACGTTTGAGTAGCACTGAGGCCAGCAGTTCAGGGTAAGTGGCGCCTACTGATACTAAGATCAAATTGAGCTAATTAATACTAAATGATGGATTCGAGCATTTTTTCAGGACATTCTGTTCATGGGGCGACGTGGGTCGAGTGCTTGTGATGGCCGTCGCGGTGTACGTGGAAACGAACTTCGTCTTTCCAACACTCTTTGGTAGTCGACGACGAACGCCCTATTGAACGCTTTAGCCAGGCTATCTTCGAGATTGTAAAGAGACGCGCTCAACAAGTTACTCAACGTAGCTCAAGAAGAAGAAAAAATGTATGCTAAGAGTACAATGCTCCGTACAATGAAAGAAACCACTGTGAAGGCGGATCAGTGAAGCATTTGAAAATCTGCTCTTAATCGCATGTCTACGGCCTCGAACACTTATATTAGCAAAAACTATCAAACTGTGCTGACTCAAGTTTTTGAGTGATTTTGATTAGTACTGATATCAATCCATCATTTGAGTGTTTTTTTTTCCTGAGCGATTGGATGAATTATATTGCTTTATAGTATCCACAGAGCAGAAATTTTCTGCAGCGTCATTTTGTTCACTCGTCAAGCAACAGAGAATATCTTTAGAAGATATACCCGTACGTTTCGCTTGATGATTTCATAATCACAAATCCTTTACGCTTTTTTCTTTGCGTTTGACGATTATTGCTCGTTCAGATCGCTAAATTACAAAAATATTTTTTCAGCCGAGAAAATGAACATTTCTGTTGTTTGGTAAAAAAATGCATTGGATCTAACTAAGTTTCAATTGCAATCACATTGCTGTGGTTACGTTGATGCGTTTACTTCGTTAATTTCATGGATATTTATCAATTCGAACCTTAAAAATGGAAAGGAAGCACCAACTACCAACTTACATTGTCTTTTACTTGGAGTGCTTCCTTCAAAAACCGCGTTCTAAAAAGTTCGATACTTTCAAAGAGGATGATTTAGCTCCTCTCAAAGTTTTGTTACGCCAGTGGCATACGTAAGCTGCGGAAATCTCGCTCATCTCGTCAGTCCCGCACGTTCCACTAGCCACCCTGCTTAATACGAAAGGAGTGGCGCAAAGTGGTAAGAGCTGGAAAGTGAAAACTTGCCTGGTCCTTCTTACAATCGATAACACGCGGTTGTCACTAGTTAATTAGAGTCTTGTCTTCTAACGACTATTTTTGGAACCTCTTCTTGGGACTCTGATAAATTCTGGCAAACTTTTTGGTTTTTTCGAGGTTTGTCATGTCAAACTTGTCATGTCATGTCAACATATTAGGTCCCCAACTCGGTTTCCGAAATTGATCCGAAAATTCAATTTTTTTCCAAGCAACAGAACGTATCAGATAACATTATTTAAAGTATTATCCGTCTGCCTGAATGCAGTCTGCCAACGCTCCGGCTACAAAGCACTTCTATGCTCACAAAACTCATTATTCTTCGATACAAACCAACCAGTCAATTCTAGACGCAAATGATTGATGTCTCAAAACTTCTTCTTGTCTCCAATAATCTGAAGTGATAGCAATCGCACGGAGACAAATCTGGCGAATACGGTGGATGATACAAGTGCTCCCAGCTCAGATCGGTCAAGTTCTTCTTTATTTTCTTGGCAACGTGTGGCTTTGCATTGTCTTGAAGCAAAATGGTTTTGCGACGGCGATGACGTGGAATCGCTCGATTGCAACGGTCCAGTTGCTGATAGTATCGCTCAGCGTTGATGGTCTAACCGGCTTGCACCTAACATCGAAGTTTTAAACACGAGGATTTTGTAAAAAGAGTCGAAATAAAGGACAGTGATCAGATCGTAAATGACATTCATGTGCCACAGACTGCAAAAAGAACTCATTCAAGACATCACTTTGAAACATTCTATCATTCTGCACCTCACAATTCTCACTGAATGGGGTGGCTAGTAAAATGTGGCAGTGATGAGGAAAGCGACTTCGCCGAAACATGCGTTGCCACTGTATGCCACTGACGTAATAAAACCTCGAAAACGGCTAAATAGGCCTTTCTGATTATGCCAACTTACAGTCATGATTATGGTCTTAATAAACTACTAATAATCATATTCTACGTAATAAATAAGCAGCATCTCGCTGGAATTGCAGAGGTAGTGATAACGGAACATGCCCCCCACCGTAGTGCAGTCGTTCGCGCCAATTAGACCTGTGTTCATTTCCCTCCGAAGTCTTCAAAGCTGTGCATATCACTCGACATTTCGGATAACCTAGCAATACTTCATGATATTCATGCAACTGAATCGATGAGTGTTCGTATCTGATCCTCCTGAAACGACGAAGCTCCATTAACTATCACCTTGAAATGTTATTTATAAATTTATTGATTTATTATGGAGTCCAATAGTTGAAGGTAAGCCAACACCTCATCCAGAGCTGGCACGCAGATCGTCGGTTGCAAACTCAGCGCGCCTCGTAGTCTCGCTACAGGTATGGACAAGTTGATTCAGGTTTGAACTCGTTTATCATCCTTATCATCAACGTTATCATTATCACCAGCGTTATCATTGCCAATATAAGCGCGTACTAGCCATCTGAAAATCATTCTCCGTCCTTCTTTTTCTAAAACTTCTCCTTTTGACTGAAGTCATAAAAAGGAATATTACCTTGGTTTTGTGAGTTTCCTCCATGTACAAAACTTTTACGATTGGCATGATTCTCCGATTTATTGAGTCTTTACTAAGTTTTGAGAGTATTCCAGCTTCAGGCTTACGAATAACATGAGTCAGTTCGATTTGTACAAACCGCTCCCGCTTCGTGCTGTAAGTATTTGTCTAAATCAGATTGCTAGCTTTCTTTCTAGCTACATATATTGCTATTAATTTTTTGAAGAATCATCTTTTGATGGAGCTGTTTGATTTCTCGATGCTGGAAAATTTTCGC